TATTCGACGATGCTTCCGTGAAAGCACTTCCGTAAAATTTGCGTTTTAGGACGCGGGGTCTCTTCCTCGAGCGGCTCCCTCGCGTTGCAAATAGAAAAGCGTGTCATGAATATAACGACCTACTTCCTGCACGCTAAAGGAATATAAAGTTCCGTTTTTGATGGCGTACATCGATTCGGCCACCCCGACAGTGCTGAACGCCCAACACGCGCCGCAACTCTTTTGGTTCGCAACTGGTCCTACTACCTTTTGATCCCGCCAGTCAAACTTAGAGGGTATACCCGTCAATCTCTTCACACGATTAACCGAGTTCGTAAGATGCTGATGATAATACGACGCTATCATGTGTTTTTGCCCTAATTGACAAAATTGTTATATTTGTATCAAGAAATAAATTACAACACTAAATTGCGCTCGTTGCAAGCAGAACCGAGTTTTTCGGGAAATTTTTGTTAATTTTTAAATAATTTAGCGAACTTAACTTTAATGAATCCTGAAGATATCCAAGATTTAAAGATCTTTCGTCTTCAGCATTAGTCTTGAAATAAAATAATTTATGGTTCTCGTTGTGAATCGAGCTTTCTCGAGAAACTCTTTGTCATTTTTTAAGTGATACAGCAAGCTCAATTTTAATAAATCTTGAAAATTTCTAAGATTTAAAGATCGTTTATCTTTAGCATATTAAAACAAAATAATTATTCGTAAAACTTATTCTTTGGCGCGTATTTGTACACACTACAAATTAATTAATGTATTAATTATAATGATATAGTAAACAAATAATATATAAATACAAATATTATCGCGAACATGCTGTGTACTGATAAACAGACATATTTTCAAAAGCAAATATGTTGTACGCCAAAACTAAAACAGAATTATAGATATTCAATTGATTCTGTTGCTCTAATCTCGTGATTGCTTGTAATTAAAGTTTAAACATTTAATTAACTTAGGCCCAGTTTCACAAGTGTCGGTTAACTTTTAACAACTGCAAGTTATAATTTTAGATGCTGCTCTCCTTGCGTGTGTCTATGCGAAATTATTTCGTTACGCTATGCGTGACGTTAAACTAGACTGTGATATTGGAAAACCAGTATCAGTAACCTTGCACTTGTCAATACAATAAAATCTGTTTAGCATACTAGGGGTAATTTATCAAGAACATGTAAACGAGGGAATTTATTTTTTTGTATAACTACAATATTCTACAATAATTTAAATGTTTTGTCGAATTATTTTGCATTCGCAACTTCACTAAACTTTTGATCTCAGATCAACATCTTATCGTCGTTTCTGATACGAATGAAAAAAAATTATGCAAATGATGTACGTTTCATTTATTTATTAAAAATGACGATATACCCTAGTACAAATAATTGTTACTTAATATCGACGTGGAGAATTACGACATAACGCGTGGATGTCTGTTAGAGAGATTCCTTGGCGTTAATGTCAATGTCAATGAAATCGAATACGTGTAATTGACCTAAAACGCGAAGCAGAACATTGTTGACATGTGTATATTAAAATTTCTCGCAAACGAGAGTCATCTCACTTTTCACTGTTTAAACTGCTATTTTAACCGTCAGTCTACAAAAGTAATAATAAAAATTTCTTTAAAATGCATTCTATTTTCGACGTCAAGCGACAATTTCACCGTAAAATACAGGAAGTATGACATTCAGTTAGTGTCTCGTCAACGTGAAGTTGTAGAAAAAAACATTTCAACGGTTTCTCTGCTGAATAATAATATTATGAGTGTCTTGTAAAAATGCGACAGCTGCAAACCGCACGCGAGAAGACGCGTAATCATGCAAAACGCGGATATTAGCCCGCAGGGCTGTGCCGTTATATAAAGAACCAGTACACACGTCGATCCACTTGAACATGATATGTAAGTCGTTATGTGTGTGAAATGGAAACTGCAGTAAGTCGTACTTTCTACGAGAGGACAAGAAGACCCGTCTCACAACGGGCCGACGACGGCACAGAAAGCACACGGGAGAAAGGAAGATCGAACAATGCCCCTCTTAATTACGGCCACCTTAATTATTCGCGTCTTTCTCGCGCGCACAATAAAAGCAACAAACAATGAATTTGAAAGCATGCTGTGCACAGTATTAAGTATATCGGCAACAATAAAAGCGGCGATAATAGAATCAATAAGTAGGAATTTATGGTATATGTTGGAGAAAAAAATAAAATCTAGATCATTAAGTTTATTATACCACAAGCTGTGATCGTAAAAAGTTATTGACTCAAAATTCTTTGAAAATGTCTTTTAAATTGTTTATTGTTAAAATTTGAGAACTAACTATATTGTCAATTATGTGAAAGTATATAAATGATATATAATTATAGATCCAGACTTCTCTCAAGGAAAGTCTGTCTCAAACTGATCGTGCCTCATATAAATGATATATAATTATAATATAATTGATCACAAATTACAATCACTATGTAATGATTTTTTAATAATTTTTTAATGCGTTCTTTGTTGTCTCTAAACAAAGGAAGTGAAATGAGAAGCTGAAGGAATACTATCGAAAAGATCATTTATCTAAAAAATATTGTACGTTGTAAAGTATATGTTGATCTATTAAATTTAAATTGAATAGTCGCAAGAGTGAATATGACCTCTCCAGTATATAACTTTTACTAAATCGAAGGTAATCTTCTTATCGATTTTCCGCTTGGTTCCTGGAGTATAAATCTACGATAATTTATAAATCTTGTGACACACCGAATTGCCGTCAATTGCCTAGATTCGATTTGCTTTCGCTTTTATCTTGCTGACGTGCAGCACGTTATCCAAATGGAATATCTTATGTAGAATGGAAATGCAAAATGTGATTCGCAAAGCAATTAACCAGGGTAATTTATGAAAACTGTCAACGATTTCATACTCTCATACCTTTCGTCATACTTTCTCTGTAATATACGAAAGATTGCGTTCACTGCCGTTATTATCAAATTTTTATTTCCATGTCTTTGATAGTGCTATATATTTTTAAGTTTACTGAAAGTTATATTTATTCACAAAAAGTGAATGTCTCTTTATCACAGCTTAGAACACCTCGTGTAAATTTCTTGCTACATTATTAAAAAATCATTAGAAGAGAACAATAGACTGTCGTAACTGAACTTCAGAAACATGTTGTCGTTAATTCGTTTTGCTACTGATTAAATGCCACTGGAAATATCACGGTATTATATAATTTTGTATTAAAGCGCTCATGATGCCTAAGAACGTGCGCGAAAATTCTATATTGCATAAGATATTGCACCATTACACAGAGTAAATAAAGAGCAATGACCGCAGGAATGCATTTTAATGTGCAAGGAACTTTACAGCGTAAATTAGTCGTTTTAATAGAAAAAATATATATGTAAACAGACAATAATTAGCTTTATAAATAGATTATTTGTATCTTTAAGAAACTTTAGTGTTTTACTTCTTTCTGAAAAAAAAAAAAAAAATGCGTGATATATTCGTGTAAATATTTGATTCTAGGGTCGCATTGTGAACGATCCGCGACCTCGTCTCTCGGCTTCTCAGCAAGCCCAGATACTGAGCGATGTGCAACAGTACCGGCAACGTCCCATTCAAGATTTCAAGAATCCGCGGGTTTCCTCGTTCAAACAAGCACAATCGAGCACGCCGTACTCCTCCCTGGCCAAGTACAAAGTTGATCGAGCGAAGCAACAGTTGCAACAGTTGCAGCAGCAGCAACAACAAGTGCAACAGCTTCTGCAACAACAACAACAGAAGATCGCCCAGCAACTCGGTACTTCGAACTTCGTGAACGGTGGCAGCGGCGGTGGCAGCGGCGGCGTGCAAACGCCACACTACCAGCAACGGCAGCAATACCAGCAACAACAATACAATCAGTACAATCAAAATGGCTTCCAAAATCTTCAACAGGATCTGTCGCAACCGCTGTTTAGCGATCAGCAGACGGTACAGTTACAGGAATATCTCGAGAAGCAGCGCGAGCTGGAGCTGCTCCAGAAGCAACGGCAGCAGCTGCTGTACGAGCAACAGGAATTGCGCAGGCAGCTGGAACTGCTGCGACTTCAGCAACTCCAGAGGCTCACTTCTACTACGCCACTTCCACCTACCGCGACATCGATCCCGATCACCGTTAGCACCACTTCCTCACCGTTGTTGCTCTCTTCGCCGTCGGCGCGACGTATCACGCCGTCGGAAGCGGAGCTTTTCCTTAAAGCAATTGCTAGCCATCAGAAGAAGTATACGACGACAGCAGCAAGCACGACTACAACGACCACTACCACGCAACCACCTCCGCCATCCAGACGTCTGATTACCTCTAATGCTCATCAGGAGACAGATATACCGGAGAACTTGCTCAGCCTGCTGCAGGGTCAAGAGAGTCAATTGTTGCAGCAAGGTAAACCGAAGCCGCAGATCAAGGTGATCTATCAGACCGATAAACCCAGCACGACGAGACAGACTTCCAGCGGCAGAAGCAGGAGCTCTCCACAGTCTGAGCGGGAATTGTTGCTGAAGCAACTCAAACTCGCTCTATCTCAGTCCGGCGATGACGATGACGTTGTCAGGAATGTCACTACCAGGGATCTGATACTACCGAACGGCAAGAAGATTCAGGTTATTCACGCGCCGAACGGTTTATCATCCATCGCATCGAGTTCCACTATTCAGACGTCAGCTATACCGTCCTCGACGACCACCATCAAGCCACCGAAAGCGCTCTTTGAGGAGCTGACGAAGGGCGGCGTACTGCCACCGGGTGCCGATTTCGAGATCATCCGGCAGAAGAGCGACGGCAGGCTCGAGGAGATCGGCAAGACGCCGATAATCCAGAATCTACCGGCAAAGAAAGTCACGTTCGTTTTGTTGGAGGAACAGCCGGACGGCAGTTACAAGGTGCAGGGTATCAAGGGTAACGCCAACGACAAGGAGAGTGGCACCGACGTCGAGTCCATCGTCGAGAAGATCAAGAAGGGCGAGCTGAAGCTGCCACCCAGCTCGCTCGGACCGACCACGCAATCGTCTACGCTAGAACATCTCGAGTCCAGCATCGATCCGAATCTGATAGTGTCCACTGGGAGTGTATGAAGTTAGCCCCCCTTTTTTTGAAATTCATATTTTTGAAAGTTGTTCCAGGTTGTTCTGACTTTGTACTACATTGTTCCAAAACAATATTCCTTAATTCTCAACAGTTTTTTAATAAAATAAAAAAAACAATTTTTTTGGCTGGCCCCCCTTTTTTCGAAAATCGAAATTTTTTTTTATCGCTACAGATTGTTCTACTTGTTCCAAACATTGTTCCAAAGTATTAGTTCGATTGGTTAAAAACTTTAAGAAATATTGAAAAAAGAAAAATTTTAAAAATAACAGTTTTTGGCCATTTATTCGTAAACAAAATGACTTACAAAACTGTCGATCTAGAACATATTTCTAACCGCGTAGAACAACTCAGAACAAAATTTTTAAGACTAGAACAAGAACCTAAAGGGTACTTTACTCTTCATCAAAAATATTATTTTTCAATTTTCTTCGTTAAAAATCTTGTTCCAGGCTTCCCGCTTTAAAACTATCGTGTTCTCCACTGGAACAACTCAGAACAAAATTTTTAAGACTAGAACAAGAACCTAAAGGGTACTTTACTCTTCATC